TTGGGGGGTCAACAGTGGGAGGGCTTCTAATGTCCTGGCCCCACTGGTGGACCTCCTGATGGCACTGGTATTTCTGGCCACTGTGTGACACAGAGTGTTGGACTGGATGGGCCTCTGGCCTGATCCAACATTGGCGTCTCTTATGTTCTTATAAAGAGCTGGTTAGAGTCAAAATGCATAAGTGAGCAATAAGCACAGCTAAAATTGGATTAGAGCCGTTGGAAAGACCTGTGAATAGCAGCAAGCTAGCATACAAATAAAAGAGTTACCAAAGAGAGGTGAGAAATAAGTTTGAGTCTAGTGGCACCTTTTAAGACCAACAAAGCTTAATTCTGGGTATAAGCGAGAACTGAGAGATTTAGCATATGTAGACGCACACTTCTTCAGATACATCGAAACAGATTTCCACAAGCATTACATGTAGGTAGAAGGGGGGCGGTTAGTTGCCAGGAAGGCCTAATTAAGAGTCGATGCACGAGCAACATGTGATAAGTATAGCTAATATTGGATTAACGCAGGTGGTAAGAACAAAATATCATCACCATCGGGTCCAGGGGATCTGCTCTACCTTGCCTTACCAAAACACACAGAGGAGAATCCTCCTAAATAAGACAAGAGGGCTTCCTGTCTCACCTGTGAGGGTCCGACTCCTTAAGACAGTCTGTCAGGATGTAGCTGATCTTCTCGCCTTCTCGAGTCAAGCCCTATCCAAAAAATGAGAAAGAGGTTCTATAGTTAAGCTGCTTTCCACAAAAGACGATGCCGGGAGTAATGTGGGAACACAAACTTTAGAAGTGAGCTACAGTCCCTTCAGGAATTCTTTATATGCAGATTGTTTGGGGTAATATAACTCCCTCATGCCACTGTATTCCTCATTACTACATACGGGCAGGGGTCATTTCATAGAAAAAGAGGTGCAGGGGCTCATTAGCATAACTTATTTGCATACGCCACACCCCCTGACATCACTGGAAGTGCGTCAGAAAGCAACACCCACTATAACTTACCTGGCTGCTTCTTGCTCCTTGTGGCCTGACTGAGGGCTGCTGGGAGCAGGGGGTGGGACTTGTTGCATGTGCCCGCCCCCTGGGCTCTTTACTGCCGGAGCTCTGCTCCTGTGCGCTCCTGCAGGAAATGACCCCTGCATACGGGTGTGAAAGTTGGACAATGACGAAAGCTCACAGGAAGAAAGCTGAACAAAATGTTGAGTCCAGCGGCACCTTTAAGTTCAACAAAGTTTGATTCCTGGTATAAGCTTTCGTGGGCATGCACACTTTCTTCAGACACACTGAAAGAAGAATGTTGATTCATTTGAAATGTGGTATCGGAGGAGAGTCTGACGGGTAGTGTGGACTGCCAAAAAGACAAAGAAGTGGGTTCCAGATCTAATCAAGCCCTGAACTATCCCTAGAAGTTAGGGATAGTTTTGGGCACCACAATTTAAGAATGATATAGACAAGGTGTCAGGTTCTGCAGCAAGTGAATCTCCACCCACGGTTCCAAGGAAGCGTTATGCTTTATTAGACTACAAAACTGGTACCATATCCACAGGATTATTGTTAGGAATTACCATGGGGCGGAAACATCCTTACATATAGCAGGACGAGGCAAATGGCTAAGCAAATGAAATTCGAGCATGCACCCGGGAATTCTCCCGGCGGGAGGATACATGATAAGCGGGAGAGTCGCAGTGCCTCATGAGAGCCGAAAGATTCACACCAGGGGTGGAACGCAAGCCCTCCCTCCTTCACAAGGCCAGACAGATAACGCCGTCTGGCAGTACTGGCTCTCACGGTCTCCCTAGCATTGTTTACAGCAAGCGGCAGAGCAGCGAGCAAACCAGGATCAGAGATGGGAACAAGCAAAACATGGCAGCTAGCTGACACAAGGAGGGCAAGGGAGATGGTATGGGGTCTGGAGATCAAGTCCTAAGAGGAAAGGTTGAAGGAGCTGGGCATATTTAGTCTGGAGAGGACACGACTGAGAGGTGATACGATAACCATCTTCAAGTACTTGGAAGGGCTGTCCTATAGAGGATGGTACAGAGTTGTTTTCTGTTGGTCGGACGAGAACCAACAGGTTGAAATTAAATCTGAAGAGTTTTTGGCTAAACATTAGGAAGAACTTCCTGACAGTCAGAGCG